GTTTTCATTCCCCCGTCGGCCCCATCCAAGGAAAACTGAGCAAGCAGGGCGCCCGAACATTCAATAACTCCCCGAACTCCCGCATCGTCGCGTTTCTTTGGGCCGACCCTGCTCCTGATGCTTGCCGTGCTAAGCGCGCAACTTCTGCGAGCCGTCTGTGCCTCCACATCTCATTCATCTCCTCGATCACTTCGTCCTGATATCCCTTGCGCTGCCTGCGAATATACCGAGCATTCTGCTTAGAAAATTCCTTAAGCCGTGCACAGATGGACCCCTCCTCCTCCTCCTCCGACGCGGCAGCAGCAAGCTCGTGTCGCATGCGTCGTCTGGCTTCTAACAACTCAACCCGTTCTGCGGCCAGCCGGCGCACAGGGCGAACACGATCACTCGCGAAAAAATGCGGCCCGTGGAGATGAGCATATCGGTCAAATAATCAAAGAGCCCGCATGCAGTGTCCTGCCTCGAAAGCCTGCCGATGGGCTGTGAATTACTTTCCACCCAAGCTTCAATAGCTTCGATGAACTCACGCCGCTGCAATCCTCGTCGTAACGACAACATCAGTGCATCGTAATCCCAAGACGCCTTCTCACTTCGCATACTCACCAAAGCCCCAGGTGCCAGTGTGTATGGCACAGCCGCATGTACAAAAATATGGTCCAATATACACCGTCGTCCGCATATCTGAAGACTGCGACTCAATCGATGTAATGGACCTGCACTCTTGAGAACGGCCACCAGGGGCCGCGGTAAGGCACTCATGAAAACTCGTGGACCCCTGAGGTCCAAAGAAGGTCGGAGCGACACCGTTGAAAACATTTGCAACCTGTAGATCCTGAGCAACAAGCAGCAACGCGATCCGATGCCGTAACTTCTGGTGGCATTCTCCTCAGGCACCGTATTGAGCCTGTCGTACACCCACTCAGCGCCAACTCTGTGGAACCCTACCCCATCGTTGAGACCTGCACATACCACAGGAGTCGAGCGACTCGGCACAATAGATAGCTCTTGTGCAGCCCATTCTAACAACCGTGCACATGTATCATCATAGGCCGCCCATGCTGATGATGTGCGTGGGCGACGGGGAAAATAGAGTGCCACAACCGTAATATCTAGAATCCCATTCCGAGCCCGGCATGACAGACCTCGGCCCTGAAGAGGGGCAGGAAGGCAGGAACTGCAATACTTCTCACGATATGGTCTGGCTTGATACGCCGACCGAACATAATAGAACATCCGCACGCTCTCGTCACATACTCCGATGCAGCCCACCCAGCTTCTACCAGAATTCTCCCGCACATAGAACGTCTTCTCAGAGAGCAACCCACCGTGGCCTTCTGCTGGGTGCCGACGACGGACAGGATGTCGAAATTGGGGACCGAGTTGATGATGTCTTCCTGGCGGTCGCGGGTGGACGCAGCCATCGGATTGTACATACCAATAGTAAGTGTGAAATGTAGTGAATGGCCAGCCGCCCGCCACATTGCAAAAGCGACGTGCCAGGATGAAGGCAAGGTGGTGTGGGGAGAGCCCCTGCCTGGCCATGTCTCTGCAAGACCTGATCCACATGGCTAGGAGGAGGAGGGAGGAGGAGGAGGGAGGAGGAGGAGGGAGGAGGGAGGAGGAGGAGGGAGGAGGAGGAGGAGGAGGAGGGAGGAGGGAGGAGGAGGAAGGAGGGAGGAGGAGGGATGAATCCGCTCGAGGCGGCTCACCTGCAGGGGCACGGCTGGGCCCGCGGGCCGCCAGGGGGCCCACGGCGGCAGAACGCCCTCCCCCTCCCGCGCCGAGCCGGCCTCGGGCGATTCCCAGGCTGTGCGCCTGCTGCACGCCGTGAGAAGCACTTACAAAAAAACAGAACAACAAAACAACAACACGAAACACAACACAAACAAAAACAGCAAACACCCACCACCCTCCGCCCCTGCTCCGATGCCGTATTCAATCCGCTGCCCCTCAAGGGGCCTCTTTTCGGCAGCCCTCGCTGCCCCCCAATCTATCGCCTCCACATTACGCGGCCTCCAACTGACGCGGCTGCAAATCGGGGCCGGCAACCGATCCGCCAACTCGCAGCCCGCAGCGGAGAAGCAGACCAGCGCGTTCGACGACTCGCGGAGAAGACTGCTCGCAAGTGGTCTGGATCCGCCGCGGGGGATCTGCGATCCATTTAAAGAGGACAGACAGAGCAGTCTGCACACGCACCGACTCTGGACAGGCCCATCCTGCGCCAGGGACCGGTGCATAATTACGCCCTCCTGCCCTGGCTAGGAACTCACATGCACCCATCCTGGGCCCGGGATGGACCCTCCCATCTTTCCCAAGTGCCCTCAGGGCCTCTCTCAGGGCTCTTTTGGGCCTCTTTGGGGCTTCCTGGGGACCTCTTGAAGCCTCCTGGGGGTCTCCTGGGGCGAAGATCTCGGGTTCTCGGTTCACGTTCCCGATCCTGGGCCACGGCTGGGGCCCTCTCGGGCCATCCTTGACGTCTACTCGGTGCTTTTGCAGCCTG